ACAAAGATCTCTTTCCTTGCTCAAATCTATATGGTTATTGATCCCATATCAGTGGACACCAGCCAAGAAAGGTGTCAAATATTCCCAGTTAAGGAAATAAAACAAGAAGACATTAAATGTTAAATCAAATCCCAGGGAGTTAAGGGTGAATATGGGAATGGAGTTAGATGGTATGATTACTAACCAGAAGATTAAGGAAAGTGAAGCAGGTTCCCAGGTACTCTCAAATCCTAGAACTAAAACTCTTTCTCTATGAATTGCTTAGTTTGGAATTGCAAGGGTACGACTAAGAAGCCTTTTAAGACAACTCTAAGGAATTTCGCTAAAATGCACAAAGTGGGGTTGGCTGCTATCTTAGAGACAAGGATTAGTGGTGCTTCATCTATTAAAAAAATAAACAGCTAGGATTCAAATATTTTTTGATTGAAGATGTTGTCGGCTACATTGAGAGAATCTGGCTACTTTGGATTAATGATCAATTTACCATTGATCTGATGGAAAAGTCTAACCAATATATCCATGTTACTTGTGCTGCCAACAATGGTGCTAAATATTTTTTAACAGTGGTGTATACTATCCCAGAGAAGAGATCAAGAGAAACCTGTGGAAGGAGTTAAGGATAATTAACAGTAATATGATTGAACACTAGGTCATTATGGATGATTTCAAAGAGATCATGTTTGCCAGAGACAAAAAAGGAGGCATTCATGTGAACCTTGGCAGGTGTCTTAACTTTATAGAAGTTCTTGATGATTGTAATGTTTTAGACGTTTGCATTTTCGGCTCTAAATTCACATAGAGAAGAGCTAAGTGTCTAAATGTCTTTATTTAGAGAGTTTTTAAAAGGCTCGACAGGGTATGTGCTAGTTCTTCTTGGAGAATTATATTCGGAGAAGCCAAAATTAGAACCTTTCCTAGACTGAACTTTAACCATAATCGTATTTTGTTATCCCTTTTACCCAATGAGCAAACTTGGAGAGAGAAAGAGACCTTTTAGATTTATAGCAGCTTGGGAAGACCAAGAAAACTTCATCCCTTTCCTCAATAATGCTTGGAATAAAAATGTAAATGTCTACTCTTCATTAGATAATCTTGTCAATCCTCTCAAGGCTTAGAACAAACACATACAAGCCAAAAAGGATTTTCTTATCAATAAACTCCATGACCTAGGATTTGAATGATGATGCTACTTTAGCCTTAAACCAAGCTCTCCAAAAAGAAATGAGTGATGTCCACGAAGAAGAAGAGAGCTTGTGGTTCCAAAAGGCTAACCACAAATGGATTTCTGATAGGGACAGAAACACAAAGTTCTATTGTTCAATTATTATCATCAAAAGGGCTAAAAATAAAATTTTAGAGTTGAAAGATAATACAAGCAAGCTAATCAGAGATGAGAGGACTATCATTGACACAATTTTAACCTTCTATAACTCCTTATTTTGTGAAGATAGATTGGTTAGACCTTGGCACTTGAGTAAGACGCCTTGGCCGAGCTAGATAGAAATGGTATGGCCCATATGTCTGCCTAAATCTCTAATAAAGAAATTCAATAGGCTTTTTTTTAGAATGCGAGTAAACCTTTTATTTTTCAGTTAAGTAGCAGAGATTTCTTGGATCCCAAGCAACTGCTCGCTTAAGCCAGCATGTCCGCGAGCAATGCTCTGCCTAGACAGTGGCTACTGTCTCTATTTTAATTTACTTGCTAGATTGCTCGTATAAGCGAGCAAGTCCGCGATCAACACTGCACTTTGAATGGTTCCTTTTGTTTAAAGGACCATTCCTAGGGAAGTTTGCCCAACTTTTGGTTCCTCATTAAACATGGAATGACAACCATATGCCCAACAGACATATGTGCGCTTACATCCCAATATAATCCCCTTTCTTGGGTTGCAAGCTTTTGCTCTTTATTTACTTGCCTAACAAGTTATCTTCTAATTCATTATCATACATCTTCCTAACTCATTTTCATATCTATTGCACTTCTCTTTCTTCATATTTCATGCATATAGCTCTTATATAACCTTGTAGGTCATTCTATTTGCATATAACATACATATTCTTTTCTAATGCAATATACCAATGAACAACATCATAAGGTATATCATTATATCCCAAATATATTACAAATTTAGGATCTTAAATTATACAAATATGATCAAAGTCCTTATCACAAGGATACATGAAAGTACTACAAAATATCAATGATCATAATCTAAGTTCCTAAATACATATTCTCTTGTTGTTTTCAAAATAATAGGATTACAACTAAATGTACAACAAAAGTAATCCAAATCATGAAGCATGCTATGAACTGATATCTAAGTGGGTCTCTTGCCCTGTGATGCTCCCTCTCCAACTGTGGAGATACCTGAAATAATATCCTCAAAATACGGAGTGAGATAAAATCTAAGTAAACTAAGGGTCCTTGGAAGATAACTCCACCCTATAGTTCACTTCAGTGCATCATAATATTAAAACAGACATGCATACATAATATGCTCTGTAATAACGTCTAAGAGGGTTCCACTATATTGGTTCATGAACTGAACTGATTTTCAAAACTAATTTAAGAACCAAACTAGTTTAAAAATCTTGAACCAAATTGATTTTTTTATTTATTTATCTTTTTTCTCTCTCTATTTTTCTTATTTATTTAATTTGTTCCTTCTTTTATCTTTATTTTTATTTTTCTTTTCTTTTCTTTTTTCTCTTATATATTTTCCTCTCTTATTTTTACTTTATTTTATTTTTCATTTTAATTGTTTATTGTTTTTTTTTCAAATTTGTGATATTATTTTTGTTTTTTTTTGTTTTTTCTCAATATTTTCAAACTTCTTAAATGCGAGTCCTATATTTGCTTGTTTCAAATAAAAAATATGATAATTATGCAATTCAAACCAGTTCCGAAATGATTCAAAACTAGGTCGAAAATAGTTATAGTTCAGAACTGGTTCGAAATCAATTCAGAACTAGTTCGAATCAAACTAAACCTATTCGATTAAAAGAAAAAGTTAGAACCGAACCGATTTAAACCAGTTTAGTTTAGTTCTAAAAAAAAATTCAGTTCGTTCAGGTCGAACCATGCCCACCCTATAACACTGATACCTCAATTTTAGTGGCCTATCAAAATTGCAATCTTAACATAAACATCATCAGTGCTATCAAACACGTTCACATCTTGTCCTTTAGTCGAATAAGTTGGGTCTCTTCACCGTCACCTCCTCCCCTCTCCCAAACAAGAAAAGAGAAACGTACTACTCCAACCCAAGAAATTCATGGGCCGAGCCCAAATACTTAGGATAAAGCTAACCGGCCCAAACTAAGTGGTCTCTTGGTTCTTCACGTTACTCCATGGTACTGGGGATTCATATTAACCACAAAAAATATTACTTTTTCTAACTTGAGAGTTGAGATGATGCATTAACTAGAAATACTGAATAAATCAACCATAATCTCTTATTAAAATTTAACATAAATTTTTAGTCTATTTTTAAAATAAAATATTAATAAAGATTGTAATAGAATTTATGAGCATTCTATATTCCGCAGTTAATGCAGAGAAGTTATTTGCATTTATTCTTAAAACGACATCGTTTTGGTATTAAAATCTTAAAAAATTATAAATATAAAGACAATTATAACTCTAAAATAAATTAAAATTACAAAAATACTACGATTTCCGTACCAAAACGATGTTGTATTAATTATTATCTGTCGTAACCGATTTATAAATATTATGAAAAATAGACGGATACACAAAATCTGCGCGTTACTTTTGTGATTTGAATGAATGCAATGGTTGCCATTGCAAAAGAAACAAAGTCGAAACCAAACGCTCAATACACAAAACCTCACTCTCTGCTTCTCTTTTCTCTCTCTCTTAACGTGCATGTCGTGGAGAAGTTCAAGAGTGGTATTCAAGCTAGGTACATAACTAGATATTCATGTTTCTCTACATTTGTTTCCTTTCATTTTTTAAACTCTTGCTGTTCTGTTCTTGGTGCAACCTTGTTTTTCTGTTACAATGTTTGAACCCCTTTTTTTTGTATTTTATTAAATGTTAAATCTTTTTTTTTTTTTTTGATAGTTTATGTTAAATCTTGATTTGTGCTGTTAATCTTCTCTTTTAGACTTTTGTTCTTGTGTATGAAACTGTGACAACCAATCTTCTTTGTTGTTCAAATCATTAATGAGTACTTAATTTATTTGTGTTTTCATCAACTATTGAATGATTAATTCTTGTGTTGGTTATTTGTTTCATTTTTAATGCCTACCAAACACATTGTGTGCTTGAAGGTGAGTTGCAAAATTAAGCCTTTGTATCTTAAGTCTCAAATTGCAGTACTTGCTGCAGATTGTTAGCAATCTGATTGACCTAGCTGCTGAAGTTAAAACAACGTGGAAACTTTATATAGAAAGTGAATGCAATATACTGAGACCTGCTCTAAAACATTGGGGAGATGAGGGATAGAAGACTCCAAGATTTTTTTTTTTTTGGTATAAGATTGCCCTCACCCCAATTTGTAGGGGTTTAACGGGGAGAGATTTTTTTTAATCTGAGGAACAACTGGAGTTTTTCCCCCTGAAAATATGTATATTTTATTTTTTAATGCTAAACCGTATTAAATTACACATGTGGTTGCCAGATTGTTTTTCTGAAAATATTATTGTTACCTTGTTTGAATCTATAGTTGTCCATATTTTTAGGATCTACTGGGGAAGGAATAATGGAATGATATTGGATGCTGTAAGACTGTTGACCCTTAACATTTATTCAGAAATTTTAGTGTTCCTTGAATTACTAATTCTGTTTAAAAGTTACCAAGATTTTCAATGTCAAATTCTCTTTGAAAGCCTAGATAAAAACTAAATCTTGCTTTCTTCTTTTGGGGAGGTGAATCCAGTTTCAGGGGGATTGAGAGCAAAAAAGGATGGAGCCCCATACAGTACAAAGCATTAACATAGCCTGTAACATTCCGAAGGAAGGTATTAAAAATACAATGGATACTGAGTCAACTGTAGCAGATGAAAGAAAAAATGACAAAGAATATTCTTCTTATTCTGATGAAATGAAGGCACTATCTGCTTCTGTCATAAACAAAGAGTTTAGTTCAAAAATTTTGAGAAATTCTTTGGCTGGAACACAAGTTGGATTTTTGAAGAAAAAACTTCTTGTTCTTGATATAAAAGGGGTGCTAATGGATATAGTTTCTCCCCGTCCAAAGGATTATAGAGCAGATGCAACCATTGCCAGGCAAGCAAGTGAGTAAAGATTGTGTTATTCAACATTTTTTAATGAATCATCCATACTTTACTAATTAGGTTGTATTTGATTTCAGTATTCAAGAGGCCCTTTTGTCTTGAGTTTCTGAAGTTCTGCTTAGATAAATTTGAAGTCGGTGTATGGTCTTCAAGATTGAAGTACTCTTCAGTTATCTTTAATAAATATGACTTGATTAACTTCTTGTGTTCAGTTTGTCTATCTTCATTTGTGTTTCAGAAAGATTACAACTGCCCTTTCTTGTAGATTGTTAACAATCATCTGTAGTATAAACTTCTGGATTTTGTGTTGTTGTAGGAAAAATGTTGATAGAGTCATTGATTATTTGATGGGAGACTTGAAAAAGAAGTTGCTTTTCTGTTGGGTAAGCACTTCTTTAGCTATTTTATTACTACCTAAATCTCTCTTTTTGGTTACTCATTGACCTCGAGAGATCCTAGTTTAGTAAAGTTGCATTGAGTTTTTCTGTCATATTTATATTGCTTGGTGATCTTACCTTTTTGCATGAAAATTTAATTCAGAATGAAATTTATTTGTTTCTTCGACATCTCTTCTTATGTCTTCATTTTATACAAACCACGAATTGCATCAATTCACAACTCTGCAGTTCTACTGCGGTCATATTATCTTTTCATGAAATTCATGTATTTATTAGTGTTTTCACCTACTTTCTCACTTTTGTTAAGAGGTAAACCCTTCTCTGCTTCTGATTTTACATTTTCTTGACTTCTGCAGGATCTTTCTCATTGTACTCAAACAAGTTTCAAAACTCTGGAAAACAGGCACAAGAATCTGGTCTGTAAGGATCTAAGGAAACTTTGGGAGAAACACTACCCTAATCTTCCATGGGAGGAGGGATATTATAATGAATCAAATACATTGCTGTTGGATGATTCTCCTTATAAGGCATTGCTTAATCCTGTAAATAAACTAACTTTTCTTTTAACTTTTATTTTTTCCCTTGTTTAAGCAGGCTTTTTAGCTATACCAAATTACTGTCATTTCCTAACCTTTCTTTGATACATGTTTTGATCATTTATTTTAGCCACACACCTCAGTCTTCCCTCATACATTCAGTTACCAGAATAAGAGCGACAACTCATTAGGTAAAAATCTTTGCATAGACCTACTAGCATCTTATTCATAGAGTAATAATGCTATGTTCTGGTCTGCATTCTTGCTAATGGACTATGGCAGACTTGACTGATTCTCTTCCTTTTTTATTTTCATTTACATACTTGATGTTTAATTTCTTTAGCTTTCATTTAACTTTTGGGTTGAATCTCATACTCCTCCAGGAAAATGAAGGCAAAAGAATTTTTTTGTTTCATGTTTTATATATGGTTTACATTCAGATTAAACTTGGCTTTAGGCGTGAATTTTTTTTTTTTTCGTTTTTGTTTTGCACCATTTAGGAGCGAACCGGAGCAGTGGTAAAGCTGTTCTTTCATGACTAAAAGGTCATGGGTTCTGTTAAGAACCTGTGGTGTATCCCAAGGTTCTTTACAGGTTCGAATCCAGAAAACAGTCTCTTTGCAATTATGCAAGGGGTAAGGCTGTGTACAAAGATTACCTCCTCCCCACACTCGCTATTCGGGTTTAACGGGAAGTGTTTTTTTTATTGTTTTGCACCATTTATAATTTTGCAACCTCAAAAGATGCATTCAATGGGCTGTCTTTGTTGTTGTTGTTGAAGGGTCATATTATCTTGTAAGTTACCTTAATGATTTCTAAAGCTTATTCAGTGTGTTTAATCAAATAACATAATTATGATTCATGACAGCTGTTGGAGGGGATCTGCGAGAATATGTAAATGGATTGGCAAATGCTGAAGATATGTCAAAGTACGTCAAGGAACACCCATTTGGCCAAGAAGGAATCAGTAAAACAAGTAAATCTTGGGACTTCTACCTCCAAGTTATTGGTAGTCTTTCTGCTCTCAACAACATGAAGACTTGAATATGTACATTCTGCCTGCTGAATGATGCAGAGTATAGTAAAGAGAAATGGAGATATAAAAATGATTTTCTTTTGATTTTTTTTTCTCATCATCTATACAACAGCTATTTTAATCAGTAAACTTTCTTTAAACATTGCTGTAAACTTTCATAAAGAAGAAAAGTTGTAACAAACAAGAAGTTGCCTACCAGAGGCAAACTCACTTTATAGGAATTTTTTTCCAAAAAGATAAGAATATAGGAGGAGGGTGAGACCTCATGAACTTTTTTACAGGTTATCATTGAATATGAATGGCTTTTCTGTTCGAAACTTTATCAATCATGATATACTTGTCATGTTTCTACTATGGTTGTTGAGGATTCCCTTAGTATTGAGACATTTATGTACACTTTATGATTATTGATTGTTTAGTTTTGTTATGTGACTAATTGTAACTGTTCAGAATCTTCTAAGTAATTTTTTCATGCGGTTTTATTGCTCAAAATCACGGGGGTTTTCTATCAACATTATCAGTTACTTTGGATTGCTTTCCAGATTTTTTTATTTGTTATTTTTATAGAGAACCTTTAAGATTTGTTAGGTCTGATATATTCTTGTTCTAAGATAACTTGTTCTGTAGTATTACTGCATTAGAATAACTTAAGCTAGGATTGGCCAAATTGATTCTGGCCACGAAGTTTCTCTCTCTCTCTCTCTCTCTCTCACACACACACACACTTTTGGTGGTGAATGGATGAAGTTTCTCTTTTGTTTGAACATGGAATTAGCCAAAAATTGATAGGAATCCATACACCATTTTCTTATTAGGCTGGAGGAGCTGAATTTTCAAATTTATAATTTAATGCTGGTCCATTTATGTCTAATGATCATAAAGGATATTTTCCAATCAATTGGTACCACTTCATTATCTGTCTAGGGAGGATCGATTGTGGGAAAACCTTGTATCCAGTTTTGTATATTTGCAAAAAGATTATTTTTTTGAATTTGAAGAGAAAGGTTATATTTACAAATTTTTTGTTTACAAACTTTTACAAACTACACTAAGTATGACCGGTTATACTTTAATCAAGAGTGTGTTATATTTAGTGTAATTTGTACAAAAAGTTTGTAACGGATCCTTCTCCGAATTTGAATCATAACCTTTCAATCAAATAGGAATAACTTTATCACATATTTTCCAATCAATTGGAATCATTTCTGAAAAAGAAAAAAGAAAAAGAAAATACTTGGACAGGGAGACAAGTTTTTACTGCACATGTAAATATGATTATTGATTCTCCATGTTCCTGTTTGCTGATATAAGCTAAGAGCTCATTGAAAACTGCAAATGGGAACATCTTAATTACTTTGTGCAGCTATGTGGCCGCTCTGCTTGGTTTCTTGATATAAATTCATTAAAGTGTTTAACATAATAATATAAGGTTTTTGGAGAAATAGTCTCTATAATGAAATTGCAAAAGATTTGTTTCAAAGAAAAAAAAAAGCAAGAGATTAATTCTTATTGCCCCAATTCTTCTAAATTTCTAAATAAATTTACACAAGATAATTTATAATTCAAGTTTTTGGAAGAATTGATTGTTCATATAAAGTTAGAGCTTCTAAAACTAAGTGATATGAAGTTCAATTAAAGGTAAAAATTGACTTGTGCATTTGTTTGTGTTTTAAGTACAAATACTGTTGAGTGAAGCTATGTTAGATACCAATTTCTATAATATTTTTTTTTGGTTTTAATTTCTATAATACTTATATTCAACTTGGTTACTCCATTTTATGGTAAATAAGGAAATATTGAGACTAAGAACCGTAAGTTCAATCATAACAAATCTTTTTGGTAAGTAAAATTTGACCTCTATTTATAAGCTTTGGTAGCACTATAACAATATTATAAAATAATCAAGTTAGATAGCTAGAAAGTGTCCAAAATAACAAGGAACAGTCATTTTCGGGGAGGAGACACATTGGATCCACTCAAACGCATACAATAAAGCTGTTTGGTTTTCTAACTAGGTTTGTGGAAGGTTAGTGACTTTTGTCTCCTCATTTTTTAGTTAGTGTCAGATTTCAGAGAATATAAAGTGAAGAAAGTCCTTTCTACGTTTCAACTTCTAGCATGCACTTATTGGCTTTTGAGCATGCCATTATACGTACTTTCTCATTATACTACTCTGACTACTCTACCATCATCGTACCTATCTTTAGGACTTATGCTCCTTGCCCATAACCACACTACGTAAAATGATTTCAGCTTTTCGTTTCATTAACAAATCCATGTGATATGACGCATGATAGCAATCATTCACTTACAACTAATCACATTGTTGGTTTGTGTACAGAACCATGTTCTTCAAAGCTTACATAGAAACATTATTTTACACCCAATATTTGTGACAAAAGCGGCCAGTATACCTAAATTTACACCATTAACATTAATATAATAAATTTTTAGGCCACAACAATATACACAATCTAAATCTATTTTCATAAACATATATATGGGGTAAAATAATTCTCCTGTCAAGTAAATAACAGCCCAAAACAACATCATGGGTTCAGAGAAAAAAATACAAGGAGCGAGAATTTTACTTCTTTCTAATAATATGAATTTTCTCAAAATACTTGATATTTTTTTTTCCAAAACCTAAAATAACAATTTTATGTGACAAAAGAAACATATATATATATATATATATATATATATATATATATATATATATATATATATATATATATATATATAGGGGGAAAGTTATATTTACAATCTATTTTTGTTTACAATCTCTTACAACCATATCTTAACCATTGATTTCCGTCAATCAACGGTTAAGATTTTTGTAAATCAAATTTATTAATTAATTATTAATTCACAATAAATGATAACCGTTGATTGGCGGAAATCACCGGTTAAGATATGGTTGTAAGAGGTTGTAAACGAAAATAGGTTGTAAATATAATCTTCCCCATATATAGGGAAAAGTTATATTTACAAACTTTTTGTTTACAAACTCTTACAAACTACACTATGTCTGACTGGTTATACTTCAATCAAGAGTGTATGACCGGTCATACTTAGTGTAATTTGTAAAAAAAATTTGTAAATGGATCATTCCCCATATAGGGCGTCACTGCCTGGTGGGTCACGCCCAAACCAAGCGTGACATGTGATGCCCAAAAGGGACGTGACTCATGCAGCCTATATAAACCCTCAATTTTACATTTTTACCATTTCACACTCTCACTCTAACCTCTCTCTAAGACGATTGTGCTCTATACCTTACGTGAAAATTTGTGTAGTGAAGCTCTGCTAACAAAAGTAAGTTTGTAATACTTGCTATGTATATATTTAAATTACAGTGCTGCATTAGTAATATGTTAGGGTTTAGGGTATATTAGTGACTTAGGAAACTGTTATAGTGACTTAGAAATTTTGTAGTGAGTTATGAATGCTGTAGTGACCCAGGTATTATTATTATTTACTTATGAATTAATTAGTGACCTAGGTATTATTATTAATTAATAATGAGTTAATATACTTGATTATAAAATTGTTAGGAACATGCTGTGATTATTTGTACGAATTAATTACTTACGAATGAATTTATGACCTAGGCATGATAATATTATGTAGTTACGAATGAATTAGTGATTTAGGGTATTTTCTTAATAAATTTGATAGTGAATTAGAAATTTGCTTAATTAATTTTTAAATAAATGTTACTGTTACATGCTGTAAGTTGTTGTTTTGTAAATTATTTTCAATGTTATATTACACTTGTATGTATAATTTCATTACAAATTAACGGTTACAATAAATTTAAAACTTTGTATAGTTTTTTATCATGGCTGATTCATCATCATCTGGGAGTTCCGCATCCGATCATGAGCCAGAGCCTACCGATACTAGTATGTATATTATACTTGGGCCGTATAGGTGGGAGGTCCTTCGGAAGAGGACACAGAGTGCCCATATTTCACAGCGGGTGTGGAATACGGAGCATGTTCGTAGCTGAAGACCCGGTGCGGTAAGGTACAAGGGGGCCACCTAGCAGCGCTATTCCAGATGTGGCTGTCAATTATCTGACACAGGCTGGATTTATACATGTTGTACGTATGCGACATATTCAAGTATGCACTTGACAATGTAACATTTTATATAGTTATTCGATATAATGACATATCGTGTGATAATTGTATTATGTATTTCAGATTGATGCCGCATTGATTAGTGCTCTGATCGAGAGGTGGAGACCAGAGACACATACTTTTCACATGACACAGGGTGAGATGAGTATCTCCTGGCAGGATGTGGCTGGTATACTGGGATTGCCTACTGACAGGCAAGTCGTTACCGGATCTACATCCGAGGATTGACCTACCATTTGTGAGGCTGTTTTTGGTGCCAGGCCTTTGGCCAGTGAGTTTCATGGCACATGCCTACACATCTCATTCTTTGATCGGTTGTGGGCCCGATGGAGTGATGCAGCTGGGGATCATGATCGAGAATTTTTTTCACGAGGGCGCATTTTGCGCGTATGCTAGGTTGTTGGCTACTGTGCGATAGGTCTGGAGGTAGCAACATGGGTTATCGTCTAGTCCCGTTGCTTGGGGGAAGGTTTGTTGACATTGGTCGATATAGCTGGGGATCTACGGTTCTGGTGCACTTGTTCAGGAATTTGTGCGAGTGTACAGATGCCGGTAGATCTGACATGGGTGGGTGCCACATTCTTCTCTAGATTTGGGCATGGATTAGATTTCCACTTATTGCTCCCCCTTCCTCCTCCTCCTGACATGGGTGGGTGCATCATGTCTGCATGTGACAGCCCAATTTGGGCAGCACATGTCACGCTCCATTTAGGATTAACCTACGTGGGTGTCACGCCTAAATGGGGCGTGACATGTAACGCCCAAATTGGCGTGAAATTGTTCAATAAATGCATAATTAATTTCAAAATGGCCATAAATTCGTAATTTTTTATTTAAAATACAATAAATTAATTTTTTTG